AGAACCGGCGCGTAAAGGCCGCGACATGCTGCTCCTGAGACACGGCCGACTCGTGCTGCTGACGGCTCCGGTGGAAAAGGTTCTGTTGACCACAGCGGTTCCTATCAGCAGCTGTGACGTGCTGCTGCAGTAACGTGCTGCTGACGGCTCCCGTGGAAAGCCGGGGTAAGCCAGGATAAAACCGAACAAGGGCCAACATTAGGATCTCTGTTGGCTAACTGAAACATCGTAATGCATAATTATGACATCTGCCCAAAGGTTTGGGCCTGTTTCTTGTACATCTTTCAAATAATGGCAAAAACAAGAGAGCCAACATCAGGTCAAGGCTCTGCTGTCTACTGGTCCATCACAACTTAAACGTTTTATCACTAAAAGCTGTTTCTATAATGCACCTTTTTATTGTGCATCTTCTCACAGCTTACTCCCAATTAACAAACATGGCAGGGATTTTATAAAATTAGGGTTTTTCTTTTGCATCCCACCTCTCACTTTAGTCTTTTTCTTTTAGATGAGCCATAAAAGGTATCTGTGAAGGCATTTACTTTAAAATCAATTCCCAATCCAGGACACATCCTGTCTCTTAAGATGCGGGACGTGTCGCGTCCCAGATGCTTTTAAAGGACCTCTGCTGAAGGTTCATGTGTGTGCCCTCGCTTTGAGGCTGCAGCATTCCTCCTCTGTTCTCCCTCCAGCCTGGATGCTTTTTAGGAATCAAAACAACCTTCAGAACATTTGCTGAGGATAATTTCCCAGTGACAGGAAGTGGATGCAGGAGAAAGCAACATAACACCACCAATAAGACAAATGAGGGGGGCGTGTGTCCCTGAGCTCGCGGCATTTGATATTTCTTTAAAAATGAACAAAGATTTGGTGGAGTACATAATGTGATTGCACTTAAGGATTGGAAATATTTTAAAAAAATACACAAAATATTCATATTCTCACTGATTAAGCAAAGCTTATGCTGCCTAAAAATCCAGCCAACAGAGGTCCAGATGTCTTCTGGAAAATTCTCCAAGAGGCTCAGTGTTTATCAGGAGAGAGAGATGTGGTGGTGAAACAGAACATGGTGGCGCAGTGGTTAGCACTGTTGGATGATGTAGTTTGGGCTGCGTGGTGGCGCAGTGGTTAGCACTGTTGGATGATGTAGTTTGGGCTGCATGGTGGCGCAGTGGTTAGCACTGTTGGATGATGTAGTTTGGGCTGCGTGGTGGCGCAGTGGTTAGCACTGTTGGATGATGTAGTTTGGGCTGCGTGGTGGCGCAGTGGTTAGCACTGTTGGATGATGTAGTTTGGGCTGCGTGGTGGCGCAGTGGTTAGCACTGTTGGATGATGTAGTTTGGGCTGCGTGGTGGCGCAGTGGTTAGCACTGTTGGATGATGTAGTTTGGGCTGCGTGGTGGCGCAGTGGTTAGCACTGCTGCCTCGCAGCACGAAGGTCGTACGTTCGAAACTCGGCTGCGGCCTTTCTGCGTGGAGTTGCGTGTTCTCCCCGTGCATGCGTGGGTTTCCTCCGGGTACTCCGGTTTCCCCCACAGATCACAACATGCCCTATAGGTTATAAACTGTAAGTCGCTTTGGATAAAAGCGTCTGCTAGATAAATAAACATAAATATAAACATAAACATAGCCAACAGCGATGCTACCCTGGAGGAGTCTGGATTTTGTGAGGAAAATCTTGAACAAACTTGTTTTTACAAGAATTTGTTGCTTTGTCCCTTTTGCTGATTAACATCATCATTAAATATTTATTAATTTGATCACTGTGCTGTTTTTTTTTCCAGGTTCTACAACTTTGTATTCTGTAGCAAACTAACCGTTTGCTTTCGTATCAAACCAGATCCTAGCTTAAAAGGCCTGTTGGACTTTTATCTAGAGGGAGACTGAAATTAGAGAGCCATCACTGCTGTAAAGACCGAGTTCACTGTTATTCTTTAAATATGATCGGCCATTTTGAGTTTCATTTGCTGGCTGAACATGAAAACAGTCCCAGTTTCCTGCAGCAGCTGCCGATAGAAATTAGATTAGAAAGCTACGCAGATTAATGTCACACTGAAAGTTAGCACTCATGGACTCCGGCATGTTGGCTCACGGCGAGGAAGGCTGCTTTTGGCTTAGAGGCCAGGAGAGTTTTGGTTCCCCACTCCCTGATCAACTTCTACTTCCTGAAACAGGAGCGCCAGAGCTTTCGCCCCACAGAGATCGACTCACAAGGTATTTAAGCTCTAGTGTTGAACTAAACATTACCTGTGCCTACACCACCTGAGTTTATGATACAGGGTTGCTGCAGTTCGGTAACCTTACGCCGGGGGGACACCGGCCGCCGAAGCGCCGGGAGGCGAAGCGCTCACGAAATTCAGCCGCTGCTCCTCAGTTCAGACCAGACGCTTGTTTCTCCGCTCTGGTCGAGGCGCACCTCGTAGTTTTTCTCCATTTCCTCTCTGCCTTTTCTCTGCTCTTTTCCTCTACACCCCCCTCCCCCTTGCTGTTTGTGTGTGTGTGTGTGTGTTTGTACGTGTGTGTGTGTGAACCTCTGGTGTGAACCAGTTGTTAACAGCTGTCCTACGACTTTCTGCCTCTCTGTCCTGTTTGCTCCGGTTGAAAGACCCATAACCACACTCCCTTCACGTGGTCTCTCACACACACACACACACACACACACACACACACACACACACACACACACACACACACACACACACACACACACACACACACACACACACACACACACACAAGTTCGATGTGTGTGTGTGTGTGGTTCTTTATGCAGTGTCTGTTTACGAACACATCTGACTATCGCGGAATTGTATTTTGAAATGCTTTATTTTGCTAAATTTACCGGCCTGCCTCTTATGTCGAGGTTTGACTTCCTGCCAGAATTGACGCGGTCCACCCGCGGCTCGCGAAAAAAATAGAGCAGACGCCAAAACGATCCCTGCACGGTGCGGGCTGGAACGCCAGCGTGCGCCGGCCCACGTGGTCTATAGAATAAGATAACAAGGGCGCCGAATGAAGGCGGCCCCCTTTTCGCGGCGCTTCGGCGGCCGGTGTGTCCCCGGCGTTATGATGGTCAGCTGACTATCTGCATTTACTGAAGGACCAGGTTATTCCATCTTTGGATTTTTTCTTCCCGATGGTGTGGACATGTTCCAAGAGGAGAATGCCAGAATTTGTCAGGCTCAAAATGTGAAAGAGACATAAAGTTCACACATGGATGTGCTGGAGAAGGCTCTGTGCGGCGGTTGGATTCCCAACATCAATACGCGATCTTTGTGCAAATGGAAAACAACACTAGACGAAAACAACGCATAATCAAAGCTGAAGATGGGCTACTAAAACATTTGTGTGAGCACTGCTGAAGTTTGGTGGCATTTATTTATTTTTAACCATGCTGTGTATGTACCGCGATAAAGCCCTAAAATAACATAATCTCAGTTATATGCCTTCATCCCTTAGCCCCGTAGCACTAAGATACGACATCCCCACTGGAAATCAGAATAAAACACAGCTAAACTAAACTTTACGTGTCATCCTTGCTTGGTTTTATTCCTTTAGTGGTTTTAATGTGATTTTGAATATAATTGAACCTCCTCTCCATTACTGACTTTACAGTTTTGCCTCATTTCACATTTTGTAATGAACCCGCCTAATAATTATTCACACCCTAGCAGAAGGCATTGATCCACTCAGACAGTCACTGCAGGAATCCATAAGATTTCCATGGAAGAATTGATGTGCCCTGTGATTATAAACAGTGTATGAAAACACAGGATAATCCTCACCTGCCTGTAAGTGTGTACACTGCCAACAGATTAGATTTAAGTCCCATTCCAGAGTGTTTCTGATCGGAAATGCCTGCAACATAGATTGCTTCCATCTCAGCATGTAAATGGCTGCGAGCAGGCGGATCGTCAACGTCACTCATTCAGTTGCATATAAGTGGGCGTTAACCCGGATGTGGACGTGGCGTTAGCGTTCCACCTGGCTTGGCGTGTTGCAGCAGACCAAACTTCCAGGTAAGTGAGGGTATTTAGACTAAAATTGATTAAATAAGAACGTGTCGCCCTAACAAACGCTTCTACATTTAGTCTATGGTCTTGCCGTGCCAAGCCTCTGCGTGACATAACTTTGCACTCCATGGCAAGAGGAGCAAGGTATTTGTTCTTTGTTTCCGTTTGTTGCTCCTGATGTTTGTCAGCGATTGACATTAATTTGCAAATTATGTATTTTCAGTTTTGACGGCGTTTGCACAGTGACTGGCACCAGGCGCTCGGTGAGATTCTGGGAATGAGATGTGTGCATCTACAGCCTGACGCAAATATAAAGTTGCACCCGTCGAAGCTCTCCTCCTTATTTCTCTTGAATGCCAGGGGGCAGCAACACAGTACTTGTTTTTAGCTTCATGATACTTTCTGATCCATTATTTCCAGTCACTGACCTCAACATCGACTTTCTAGTCACCTTTCATCCAGTCTCATTCCTCTGTATCCTGCTTTTAAGTCCTTCTTTCTTACCCTTTAGCTCGCTACTCTCCAAGGACGTAATTTTCACTTTAGAAGTGGGGGGGGGGGGGGGGGGGGGGGCACGGGGGGGTATCTTTACAGTATGTTCTAATGGGAAACCGGCTTCTTCACAAATGGTTGTTTTCCACTTGGTCCTAGAGCTCAACCAGTATCAATTTAATATAGCATAATATTGTTTTTGGATGGTAAAAAGTGCAGGGGTCAAAACTTGACTTTGGAAAAAGTGGGGGGGACATGTCCCCCCTGTCCCCCCCCCCCCAAAATTACGTCCATGCTACTCTCACATTTTAAATTCTGCCACCGTCCCCACATGTCTATTCATCCCTCCCTTCTTCGCTCGCCCTTGTCATACCCTCTCAACCCCTCCACTTTCCCTTGACCCTTTCCGGTCCACCTCCTCCATCCGCGGCCTAAGGACATTTGCCCCATGCAGATCCTCCCTGCTCCAGTCCCCGCAGCAGCATCCCAAACTCACCAAGCAAAATGATGATGCACAGCAGGATGGCAATCAGAGCCCCCGTGCTGAGACCCGCCGAGGAGAGGAACGCCTCGCCTTGGCATATTCGGATCTTGCCGTGACGCTGGCATGGGCACACTCGCAGGGTCAGGGTGCTGGTGCTGCTCAGTGATGGCTCCCCGCCATCCCACACCACGACGGGCAGCTCATAAAGCTCCTGGGTCAGGTGGTTGAAACGCCGTCGCCTGGCAATAATGCTGGCTGTGCTGTCTGCAATAAAAAGTGTTGGGAGACGACTTTTGTGAATAATTTTGCATTTTTTGTCAGTAAAATACAAACTTCTTGGTATGTCAATAAGGACTAAACAGAAATATATGAGAAGAATAATCTGCAACAGCCAACCGCTACGAATGCAGTTTTTGCCGGAGCTGGATTTTTAGATGCTTTCTTCTTTCCTTGATGTGCCAAAGAAAATTAATTTGAAAATTGATTCATTTACTTATTTTCATGTTTTGCAGGAGAACAGTTTGCCTTGGCCTTTGAAAGCACTTCTCAGAACGCGCTGTGTCATGTAAACAGGCATGAAAACAAAATGGAAAAAAGAGCAAGTAAAATTGGCCTTTTGATGGAAATCTTATGACAAGTAAAAGCAAAAAAAAAAAGCAAATAACTGCACAACAAGACTGCTTTGTTTTTGGTTATAGTATAAATGCTTTTTTCACATGTTTCTTTTCCACAGGCATCCATTCTGAATGGTTAATTAGCAATCAGTTTCATTATGATTATTCATTTAACTTCTGTATGTTTCTTGGATTTTTTAAACTTTAAATCCAAGATATATAATCTAATATCACACATTACCTTCATTTAAGAGTGGAGCTACCATCCTAAATACCAACACACATCACATTGTCAAGTAATTTGATGCTTATTATTGTCATAATCTGAGTTTGTAATCCCATCTGAACTGTATAAGAAGTAAACCAAGATCACAAGTGATGCTAAAGCTACTGCCAAAGGTTAATGAGGGTCACCATGGTAACGGCACAACTCAGTTTTTTTCATTCCCAATAGGATTCTTAACGAGCACGTCAAACACTTGAACAGAAATGCTCGGGCAAAGCGATTACTGTGGGAAATCAAACACTTGAGAGCATTTTCTAAGGCAGGGATTCACAAAGTGTGGAGCTGCCGCTAGGGGGTGCGCCAGGTGAAAATTGTAATGGCTGCGGAGCTCAGAGTAGTCTGTCATATGTCACCATTAGCGTAGAAACTCATTTGTGGGTGGGCCAAAGAAAAAGTAAGTGGGCACAATAAATGTAATTGAAAACAAGTATATTTTTGCGCATGTGTGTGTGTGTGTGCGTGTGTGTGTGTGTGTGTGTGTGTGTGTGTGTGTGTGCGTGTGTGTATGTGTGTGTGTGTGTGTGTGTGTGTCCTCCACATGTGCCCTAGCTTCATAATAACAATGCGCCGAGCTTCAGCGCTCTTGCCTGCGCACGCCGATATGTTCCGTATTTGATCATTTTTAACGGTGTTGGAGGAATCTGAAGGTGGCGAGTCATTCTGGCAGATTGTAATTAACACCTGTCTCATGCAGGTGTTCTGACGTTGTAAACCTCACACACACAACATTGTGGATGTAACAAAATAACAAGAAATGATTCCCATTCAGGCTATTAACAGCGCGCTGAAGATCTGAAGTTCAGAACGCGTCTGTCAGAGGTCAGACGCGTTCCAGCGGCACCACGGCTCACGGGTGCACGAGTGAGCACATCTGGGCTGGGCAGAAGTCATTTTACAACACTGGTTTAAATAGCGCCAATAACGAGACGCGGTGACTTGAGCGGATCATGGAGCTGGGTTGCAAATGGGGTAGTGTGTGTTGTAATAAAAGAAAACTGACACATGACTAACAGAAGCCCCAGAACGTTCAGGTGTATAAAGTTGACATAAAATTACAAACTGGTGAGAATGTCGTTCTGAAAAGCACCAGCATTCCTTCAAACTGTGTGGTGAGATGAATCAGGCTTGAATAACTCCACTTACTATCTAAAACTTCACACGCTTATATGTACTATTTCAGTTGTGAAAATGCTGAATCGTGCACAAGGGCAACCCTTTCTTTCCACCCAGTGAAAACACCTCCGCTGCGCTGAACGTTCAAGCCGCTGCTCTTGAGACCTCACCTCCCACTCCAGTCTCTGCTCCATCTACGAATAATTAGAATGATCGACAGCTGGAAAGACAACACGTACTTCAAGCTTTATTAAGTCAGATTTGCCCTATCGCCGTGTCGGCACGCAGATGGGTAGAGGGGTTCAGTGAGAAAACAGAGAGAGATGCAAACTGAGAGGAGGAGGGGTGGGAATTTAAAGATGACAGAGGAGGGGGGGTAAGTGGGGGTTGTATGTCTGAGGGAAAAAACAGAGTGTCAAAAGGTTGATGACAGAGACTGAGCCGACAAAGGAACAGCTCTGTGAATCCTGGCATGTACAAGTACAGAGCCACAGCAACACGGGTCTGTGTTGATTATGGTGAGGAAAATCGTATCCATTAGGGTATGGTAATTCACGTGAACCCACGTCTCGTCACAGCTGGGAGGAGAGGAGTGTGCTGTTGGCCATCTGCATCCACAAACCCACAATGAGACTGAAAACCTCCCATTTTATTTAAAATAATTCACTTTAGCTACATTATTTTAAGTAACAGTGAATATTCCTTTTTGCTGGCTGTCTGGTTAGTATGCATGACATGCGAGGTTCCACTCAGCCCTGTGGATTTCCTCTTTGCACTGAGCACGCTAAGCCAGCACTGGCAAATGGCCTCCTTTTTCACTTCTTTCCAAATGCATCAGCTCGATGAGAACTGTCACATGCATAACTTTTGTGTCACTTACGCATTCCAGTCGCTTCTCTTTTTGTTTTTCAAGAAGTTTGACTGGAAAATCTTCAAAACGACATCTTTAAGGATGCCAGTGCAGCTGCTGGCTGGAACTGCATCATCAACTTCATGACAATCTAAACTGGCGCAAAAGCCGACTTTTTATGTTTAAACAGTACTAAATGAGTCATGCTCAACAGAATGTTAAAACTACTGGAACTAGCTCATTAGGGTCACTATGGTAACCTATACTGACTTAAGCCTAGTTTATAGTTCTCCTTTAGCTCAAACATGAAGAGGCATAATGCCGTGATGCGCGATGTAAGCGCTCAGCAGCAGAAGATATGACTCCATAACTGTCTGTGGAAAAAATAAACAAATAATGAATAAATGAAACAAACAAATAAATAAACCGAGTGCCCCCGGGTCGACCCAGGACACGTTGGAGAGGTTACATCTCCAATCTGGTCCGGGAACGCCTTGGGGTCCTGCCGAAGGAGCTGGTGGAGAAGGCCGGGGAGAGGACGGTCTGGAGCTCCCTAGTTGGGATGCTGCCCCCGTGACCCGGACCCGGATAAGCGGAGGAAGACGACGACGACGATTATTCAGTGTTCCACACCTTTAATGTCAAGATAATGTAATTTAGTCATCTAACTCAAGCTGTTGAAAACCTTCAGAAGAAACATTAAATTGCATTCCAAAGAATGTGCATCTGCACCATTTTAAAAAAGCAAATTACTTTAAAAACACATTTAGCTGAGGGACATTGAGAGAGCCAGAGAAGTAAATAGTCATGGACTGAAACAGGTATGGTGACTAAAAAGCTTAAATGGATACAAGAACATTGAAGCGATCTCCTGCTGCTCTCATATTTTTACAATTCAGTTTTGTATTTACAAAATCTTCTGTTGACATAAAGACTTACATGCATAAAATCCAACAATAGAAATGTGTGTTACAGCTTATATTAAAGGAAACCTCTAAAATCAGTAAGGCTTATCCTGACTCATTACTGAGCCTGCCAAGCGTTGATGATGGATCACTATGTGCTGCCTGGTCAGAAACAAAATAATGTTCTGCCAGCTTGTTTCGGCATATTAAGGTTCGCTGGCAAATTCCAGTTTGGAACGTGTTTAGTTTTCACATCTATTTTTCATTCATTTAGCAACATATTCAAGCACATTTTTGCAGAAAACAAAAACAAGTTTTACCGTTCTGGTTCATTTCATTTTTGAAAATGGCTGTTTTAGAGAATCACAAACTTAAAGTCGCTCCAGTCTTTGCCACTTCAGCTCCTTTCCATAAAACCATGTGACTCGCTCCTCTACCCTGAACACAAATCGTGCATTTTCAACAGATCACAAGCGTCGACAATCCACAAGCACGGCAACTGCAGCCAGAGAAGTGTGCATGAAAATAGGTAATTAAACATCCCCACGTATGGCTCGACAGCAGAAAGGCTGATTAACTGAATTCTGATGTCCTCTTTTCAGAAATCAATTGATCAATATAAGCATGTGGATTATTTAGACACCGTAGCTTCAACTTAATTGGCCTTTGAGGAGTAAATGCCATCAAATGTGGCAGATAACAAGATCAGAGGCGTTCAATTTTCCCTCTCAGTAAGGTAGGTGCAGCTGAGTTGGATGTGTTTAAAGGGACTTCAGCAGAAGAGGTTCTGACACTAAGTGATTTCCCAAAGCAGCTGAGCAGAACATCCCCTTTGTTTTTTGTTTTTTTGCTTTAATGGTGTCTGTAACACTGTTTGACCCACACTTACTGTAGCGCTCCACCTGCATCAACACATGCACAAGTTAAAAATGTTCCGGCGTCCATTTCACAAAGATTGCTCTTTCATTACAGCTAAAACTGACACTCAGCCGTCGCACTTATCTGATTTAGTGAACAAGAGCAGGTGCTGTTCCAGGTCTCTGTGAGGAAGAAAAGCATCAAGAGCAACAAGATAATAGCCAGGAAGATCTCTGATATGAATAAGTACTGAAATGTTCTGAAAACGACCCGGCAATTTAGCTAATGGGCTCTTAAAAAAAAGAAGGGAAAAAAATCAGGATTATTATTTAAAAAAGGATGAATCGGCTGCAGGTATAATAGTCCATTTAACCGCTGCAGCTTAAACGAGGTCTCAGACGAAAAGTTCTTTGTTATTAAAAGAAACGTTTACTCAAAGCCAGGAAAAATGGAAGTTTGAGGAAGATCCTTTGTGAGCAAACTGTAAGTGAGGAGGAAAGGAGGTCATAAGAGAGTTAGTGGTGTGAGTGACTGAGAGGGATTTCTTCAGATGCACAACAACAGAGGGAGGTATTAGGCCCTGGCACAGAGCTGCAACCAACTGTTAGTCTGCAACAACAGCAATGAAAGAAGCTGCT